GGAAATAAGATGTCTTCCAATAACTATACATATATCGACTTAACTCTTCTTGCATGCTTGCTGGTAGTTTTTCAAGGCATGAATTTAGTTTAGCTATGGATCAATGTGTACGCTGCACCACAGACGGCAATGCAGCTTGGTAACGGAAACGGTAGCCTTTGTATCGCCGGCGTCAGCTTATACACAAGCCGTCATTCTTCTTCGACTTCTTCCTCTTGGTTTCTCTGCCTCTCAGTGAGTTTTGCCTTCGAGTATGTAAATCGCTGCATCATTCAAATGCATATATGTAAGATTATCCTCCAAGCGTACATGCTTATATGTACACCAAGCGTACGTCTTTATGAACTTGTTATTACACGAACCAGATAATCAAAGAGCGGTTTCCATATGCGGCTGCCTTGAGATTCTAGATTGGTGTGGTATGTTATCCATATGCCATTTCTTTAGTTTTACGCTTCCTTCCTTGCGTATCTTATCATTTTTTTCGAAAAATAAAACTTTAGCTTTTGTTAAGAACCAACTGTACGTATGACGATAAGCGGTCTGAAAATTTATAGCGTTAATAGTTAAAGTTACTTGCAAGAACTATATATCCTTCAAAATGTCCTTAAATTGGAAAAGCTGGTGTTGACCAGAATTCTTGACAACTTCCTTTATTTTACAGCAGACCTTAAAGTTTCTTGGTTTATATGTAGCCAAGTTTACGTGTAACCTGCACACGTACACACTTCTGCCGTTTCTTGACAATTATTCTTTTTTGTCTTGAGTATATTACATTTTTATTATTATGCTTTAATTCATGTTTCTAATTATTCTTCTGATTTTATTTCAAGATTTAGAAAAATATTCCTCCCTTAAGAAATTTTTTTTCTGATTTATTTTGTTTCTGTTGATTCTTAGATTTGTAGAAATAAAATTCTTTGAATGTATTTTTGTATTATTAATAAAGAAAAATTGTAATCTCGTAAATGTTTCATGGTACGACTCAATAACGTTACTGAGCACACTTCAAACTGTATATGACCTCCGCTATTTTTTCCGAAGGATTGAGTTGAAAGGGTAACCCTACTGTCATCATCTATTCGCATCAACATTTCCGGCACGCACGTCCCTTTTGCCCAGTCTAAGCTTGTGCCCTTCATGATGAGCGTAAAAAAGGGTGGGTTGTCGAGGGTTTCCAGGGTGCGGCTAGGGGTTGTTTCCCGGTATTGATCCAGCCGGGTTACAGGGTGGGGCTGTTGTAGAAATCCAGGAGAATTTACGTTGCTCTTATTGGCCAGTCTACATCCAAGATGGCCGTCAATGTATATACCGGAAACGTGATGACTTCACACAGGACTATTTTCTTCAGCTTTTCTTCTTCATTCCTTCGCTCAACCGAAGTATGGTCGAAAGTTTTTATCTTTTTTGCTTCTGACTCTTCTATTTTTCTTCAACAGCCCGGGAATTTCGATCTGGATAAGTCTTTTCGCTATACTGCTGGCTTTTTACAGTTATTTACTTTGGTTATATATGACTTGGAGAAATATAATGCATTGGTTTTTTTTTAAAAATGTGAAATAGTGTTACTTTGTCGAACCATTTAACAACAATGTATTTAATGACTAGTGGAAATGAATAACGATTTTTTTTACTATTGTAGCTGTCATCATAACTTTTATAATTCAATCTGAGCGCAATCAGCTATGAACTATCTTAGACTTTCCAACGTTGAATATTTATTATCATTGTTGGAATATCATCATCATGACTCATAAAAGATATTCATTCTAATCAAAGCCAATCGAACTGACACATTAACTTTGTACAGTAAATTTTAATAATTATTGTGTAAAATTATTTAATGATCAGAAATATGAGTCAAATAATTTTAAATCACATGTTCACCATTTGCAAGTTAATTTAAAACTAAATACACTGGAAGAATTGATTTTTGACGAACAGATTTTTATTTCTAATTACCAAAAAAAGGCTTTCGTTAAAATTCAGTTAAAACAGATTCTCTAGAGGTAAATTGAAGAATGGAAAATATTATAAAGCAATATTGGAAATGATACGTTAGACAGTTTGATTGCAAAATTTGATTGCCAATTATAGAGGTCTTACTGTTGGATTTAAGCTCTATAACGTTTGCTGAATGATAATAGTTACGTTTAACGGGGTATATTATTCATGATAATTCTTGGAACTATAAACTAACTTGAAATTGGTTCCCTTAGGATAGTATTGACACTTTCTTCCAATTGACCTTTTGTTCTTAAGAGGTCTTTGTACCTTTGAATAAGGTATAGGACGCGAGCTAAAAGAGAATGAGAAACCTGGAGGTCGCCGTGGCGATCAATACCGCGACTTTCGTCAGAAAAAGGTGTAGGGTTGATGGTATGCTAAACGACTCGGAGTTAATCCTCTTTTTCTACTTATATATTGCATTTTTTTAAAAAAAAATTTTTATTTAAAAACCCTATTTTTGAATATTTTATCATTTCTATGATTACTTGCAGAGTTTATTTGTTGTTAAAGAATATTTAAATATATTTTTAAAAAACTTGGAGAACTTTCTAGGATGATTTTTATGACATTTTTTCGTGGGAAACATTCGCTACAAGTGAAAAGTACCGATTAAAAGAAAAAAATTTATTCTATGTGATATATAAAATAGCTCGTCATCTGTTTGGACACTTTACACGTTGTCAATTTAAAAACAAGTGAAGGCGTAGGAAAGTTAGAGTGTCCATAAAAGTAAAAGATAAGGTCTCATGGCACATTCAAGGATAAACATCGTGCTACTTCTATGTAAACACCAGTAGGGTGAATTTTTGTTCCAACTACCGAAGAAAAGGGAGAGTTTACTGCATTGTCCAAAAATTTATGGTCCAATTATTGACAATTGTAGACCTAATAGAGGTTGTCAAAAAAAAACCAAAATATTTGTACCGCCTGTTGTTGGGTGAATAACAAATTAACAACTCAATTTAAGCTTTTCTCAAAATAACTAATTAATTATTTTTGTAAAATAATAATTTCAATAACATCAAATCATTATTTATAATAATGATTTAATAGTGTCAAAAATTACATATTTCTTTTGATTATCAATGTAAGATGTAATTAAATTGTTATTATTTCTCGGATATTGTCGTTTGCAACTTCAAGTTAAAGATACAGGTAGACCTTTATTGTTAACAATAGATTACTTTTGCGAAGTTTAAAAACAACCAATTATCTTGGAACACTAAATTTCACTGCTGGAATAAAGACAACTTGATGAGCACGGAATTAAAACTAAAATTCTCTGAGTTAGATGGTAAGATGCTCTACCATGGTGCATTTGAACTATTTTACATTTATTTTTTCTTCTACTTTTCATTTGTATCTGATATTGTGAAAGGAACACAATAAAAATTATATTATATTTCTAATATTATAGAAACATTATTTTATAATAAAACCAACAATTCTTTCATTGTGAAGTTCCAATAAATAACCATACATCCATTGATGCAGAACAATATTTTCAAGTAAATTTTTAAAAATATAAAAGATGTATGGCAGTAATAAACGTGACAAATTCAAGGCAAAACCACTTGCTGCATCAATGAAATACATAAACACAACAAGGGCATTAAGATTTTTTGCATAACCTCGAAAAGGGAGAGTTGCAGCACTAATACTACTATTTAGGATTTTACGAGGTCATTACAATAGCAATCCATTTGACTGAAAACTCGACAAAGTCCAATGCCGAACCAATTTTTATGAATAGAATTCTAAGGGCCAGAGAAAAGGATTGGATTTCCCGAATAGTTTCTTCATCCAAATTTTTTTTTTCCATTAATGAAGAAACATGAAAATGTCACGATCGGCACGCGCGCACAATCTTCTAACTCGTTTCTTTACTCTCGATTTCAACGTGCCTTTATTACACCTCTTAAATTCGCATTTATGAGCTCTTATGTTCTCCCCCGCTTTGACGGCTTCCATCTATCGTCAGTCAGCAGAGAAGGAACATATAGGTCGAAAAGAGAAAACCGAATAGACCCGTTTACAGGTATATGTGCATGTTATATCTTCAGATATGCATTTAAGACGAATCAGTATGGAATCCTAACAGACTGATCTAAACATCCTAATAAGCCGTTTTCAACTATAAGTACACCACCATTTTAATTGAAAACAATAATTAATAACACTAATTATAATTAAAATGTTATTAATAACATAACTGTTCTTATTTTATTTTGTTTGAAAAAATTATAATTAATAGTATGGTTACAATAGAAGAGTATATTTTTAACTTTTAAACTGAAATACCATTATTGTATTCTTATTTCCTCTGATAAAAAGAATTTTATTTATTTTAAGGTAATTTTTACAGTAACAGTTAAAAAATATAATATAATATTTGAGTAAACAATCAGACAGAAATTTCTTGACATCCATAAAATTGGTTATTCTACATAAATTAGATGATAAGTCGAAAAAAATTTTCACCATGTACACCAGAGCATTGCAATCGAAATCTTTAATAATGGAATATTTAGAAAATTGCTAAAATGAAGTCGGAAAATTCATTGTTTTATACAACTTTCTTACTGAAGATGTTGATGTGCATCAATATCATGGTATTATACACGAGTTCAATTCTCTGGTTATGAGCTCAAGCACTCTATCACTGAGCTGCTATAGTGATATATATTTAAATTATTAAAATCAGCTTATAAAACCATTGTATTCCGCGACTTGAAAAAACGTAATAGCTATGAGGTTTTTATGGTAATCACGAAAAAAATATCAAAATGACCTAGGACTATGAGAATAACTTCCTCAGTGCTTATAATAATTATCACGATTTTGTTATAATTATCTATATTTAAATTTAAAGAATTTAAATTCTGCGCCACAATAAAATGCATCTGGTTGGCTAATCCGAATGACTAAAAAAAATATTTCGTGACTTTTAATTATGAGTGGCGCCACTCTTATTTGCATTCTTTAGCAGCCTTGAAGTAATCAAGCAGTAAGAGTATTTAGTGCGCGATTATAAAAAATATAATTTTTTATATATTTCTACAATAATACTTTGTGAATTAGTCTATTGGAACATTGATACCATTTTTGTTTGACATTGGTTTTTACATGAATGTAAGTATTGACACTTTAAGAACAAATAAACAAGAAAATAACGCAGAAATAATAATTTCTAACCTCTACAGGTTATATCACGTGTAAGCAGGCTTAGTAAAAAAGTATACTATTGAAAAAAATTTTGAGAATGGATCCATCTTGTGATAAGCAAACATCCAAACACCAAATTGCTTTACGAGGGCAGCATTTATTAGAATCTGGAGAATTGGTTGATTGTAAATTTATTGTCGGTCAAAAACCTCAACAAGAAGTCATTGAGGGCCACAAACTTTTGTTAGCCATGGCTAGTCCAGTTTTCAAAGCAATGTTCTATGGAAGTATACCAGAAACAGCTAATTCAATTCCAATTCCTGATGTTCATCCGGAAACATTCAAAACTCTGCTAAAATACATTTATACAGATAAGGTCGAGTTGAAATCCTTCGAATTAACTTATAAACTAATTTATTGTAGTGAAAAATATATGCTGCAATATTTAGTAGAACAATGTGTAACGTATCTAAGCTCTCATCTTTCTCCACACAACGTGTGCGAGGCTTATGAATTAGCAAAGCTTTATAAATATGTTGATTTAGAAACAGAATGTTTGAACATGTTATGCAATAGGACAAGTGAAGTTTTAAAAGAACCTAGTTGGGAAGAAGTAGAATTAGATACATTATTAACAATATTTAAACAAAATGACCTAAATATTGTATCAGAAATCGAATTATTAGCTGCTGCAGAGCGATGGGCAAAAGCTGAATGTAAGAGGAAATCATACTCATCGAATACTCTATGTCTAAGAAAAGTACTAGGAAATGCGCTATCAGAAATTAGATTCATGACTTTAACTCCGGAGATATTCGCTAAAGGAATTGAATCATCATTATTATTAAGAAGAGATGAAGCTTTTGCAATTTTTATGAATATTTCTATGCCTAAAAGGAACACCAATATTACTATGCCTAAAAATTTTTCTACTCGATTACATGGAAGAAATCAGTCTAGAATTTATCGGCATTAAATGTATAGATTTCTCAGTGCTTATAATAATAATTATCACGATTTTATTATAATTATCTATATTTAAATTTAAAGAATTCAAATTCAGCACCACAACAAATTGCATCTGGTTTGCCAATCCGGACGACTTGAAAAAATATTTCGTGACTTTTAATTATGAGTGGGGCCACTTTTATTTACATCCTTTGGCAGCCTTGATGTAATCAGTAAAAGTATTTAGTGCGCGATTATAAAAAATACAATTTTTTATATTTCTAGAATAATACTTTGTGAACTAATATATTGGAATGTTTGATACAATTTTTTTTTTATATTTGTTTGTACATCAATGCATGTATTACCACTTGAAGAATAAAATAAACAAGAAAATAACGTAGAAATAATAATTTCTAACCTCTACAGGTTATATCACGTGTAAGCAGGCTTAGTAAAAAAGTATACTATTGAAAAAAATTTTGAGAATGGATCCATCTTGTGATAAGCAAACATCCAAACACCAAATTGCTTTACGAGGGCAGCACGAGATATTTGCTAAAGGAATTGAATCATCTTTATTATTAACAGAGAGTGAAGCTTTTGCAATTTTTATGAATATATGTTCTAAAAACACAAAGGTTCCTGTGCCAATTTTTTTTACAAATAATAATTCTTCTAAAACGCCAACGAATGAAAGAAAGGACATGAGCTAATGTCTTTCAAATTTATCTATATATTAGGAAAGGCTTAAAAAGGATTCTAAGTGTCAATCAGAGATAAAAATTATTTGAACATATTTAACAATAACAAAATGTCAAATCAAATTTCTCTTCAATGAATAATTTTTTAAAAAATATTTCACAGCAGCTATCAACGGAAATTCAACTTGAAATTTCACAAATAAATGACTATTTTATTAGCCCCTTAGGGCATGATTTTTTTTGTTGTGTACATAAGATATCCACAATATCAAGGACTTTAGGATAAAGATGAGGATACTAAAGAACGAAACACCAAAATAAAATTCAAGATTTCATGCATTAAAATTCCCTCAGGCGAATATTTTTGTCAAGGAAGGAAGGTTTCAGTGACAAGTGAACGAAATTAACGGACATAATCTGAAGATGAAGAACTGAAAGGTGGTTAAATGGATAATAGGGGTGCTGAAAGGCATAATGGTCTGAACCGGCTTTATTTTAAGATGGAACGATACACCCAATTAAGATATCGATTAGATTGTGGGTTGGTCCAAAAATTATTTTGCAAAATAAAAGAAAATGAAAGATAAAGTGACCAGTGGTGAACATCTTGGACCATCATCAGTCTCCAATTTTAATGAATACACTTCCCGTCAATACTTAATCGACTATTTATATTACCACAATTAGAATTCTCATTAATTTTTGCTCATTATTTTGATACGCAGATATGTATATTTTTTCTTTGTTAGCAGGTTTTAATGATTCAAGTAAAATTTAATATAATAGACTAGATTGTGGGAGATGAAATTCATGGGTGGATAAATGGTGTAAGGATCGATTCTGGTTTCGAATCTGCTTCGGCTACGCCTTGTCGTAAATGTAGCCAATCATATCTATCACATAATACAGATAAATTATGTATCACAATGATTCACTGAGAATGTTGGCTATTAATATATTGAGATGTAAGTCATTGTATAAATGCTAGGACTCGAAATCGAAATCTAAGCTTGATTATTTGACTAAATGGAATTTTTATTGCTTTCGCTTTTAATAAATTCTAGTTGTATCCATTTGTTCGCTCTATAAAATAATATTTCCATAGAGTAATCTTTGTTTTCTTTGTAACTTTTTTGTTTCTTTCGAATGATCAAGGCAGGCATAAACGACTTTGTAACCAATTTTGATCGTTAAGCTTTTCATAAATTTAAATTGGATGATTTAGGGAATCTACTGCTGTGGAATCAAAGATTATTTATGTTTTCTTTATAATTTTAATTAAAATAATAAAGAATAATTTTTTTTTATTTTTCGCAATGAAACTTTGTATTATTAAATTGTTAGAAAACAAAAATTTAATAAGATACTATGAGATCTTTTGATAAAGTTGGTAAAAAAAATTTTGAAATAAAAAATCAGAACCATTGTTGTCGAAAGACTAGAAAAAAAAACAAAGTACTCATCACGGTATAGTAGAAAATGGGATGTCATTAAATAGAAAATTGAAAACCAAGTGGTTTAAAGTTTAGTGTCTCAATTTGCAATTCTTGTTCACCTTCTATTTTCCTCAGCATCAGTTCAGTATTTTTTTTTATTATTGCTTGACAGTATAATTATTTTATGGCTTTCCTACCGATATTTACCGTTTATTGAAATACTTGCAATAAAAAATTTTACAACTTTATCTCAATATCAATTCTTTCTTTGTAATGTTTACTATAGTTTTAGAGTAATTAGTACTACGTTTAAAAACTTTTTATACTATATTGTAGCATGGTTTATCAATAAAAAATTTATTCTACAAAAATTAGACAAAAATTACTAAATCCTTACTACATATTTATTTAAAATGTGTAATTATAATTTCTCTAATTTTTTTTAACCATCAATTTTTTATAAGAGATACTTTTTTCTTATCATAGCAATTAGTTTTTGTATTATTTAAATAATTATTCGAAAAGTAGCATCGATAATAAGTATTAAAAACTTTTAACGATATTCATTTTTCTAATAATTGACCGAATAAAAAATACAATAATTCAATAAAAAATTTTTTAGAGCCATTTATAAGTCTCTATAAAGAAGAAAATTGTAATTTAATAACTCAGCATGTAATATTCTCATCTCAAACTGCTTTTTTATATTAACATTGCAGCTCTTTTTTATCCTAAAGTAATAACGTAAATAGAAATTTAATAGACACAGCATATTAGCTTAAAACAATTGAACAAATTACAAATAAAATTTAATATATTCCTAAAGACAGATAAAAATAAAAAATACATAAGAATAAGCTATTAAACAAAAACTAAAGTAAAAAACATAACTACAGATAATCTTACATATTTTTCCTTAATTATGTAAAAAAATAAACGTTAATTTAGATCAAAGAATTTTTTCTCAAAAGATACAATGCAGACACGGTGATTATTCGAATGCTCTCTTGGGTTTCAACTCTTGCAAAATGTATGCACGAGAGTATAGAGAAAAGAGCAGTGAATAAGAGGGGAAGGAGAAAGAAACTAAAAAGAGTGCGGTATGGGTTATTTCGCAGCATGCTGCTGGCACTTGTTTCGTTTGGACTCGCCTTTGAGTGCCTCGAAGAAGCGAATCGAAGCCGTTGGCTTACTCACGGTATAGTTTCAGCATAGTAATTCTCGTTGGTCGACGTTTTGTACTTCTTTCTTTGTTGCTCTGAATCATTCACTGGTAGGTTTATTTCTTTTTTCTCTCTTGCTCTTACTTATTCTACCATTCCTACCTTCACATGGCCGCGAGTAGTAGCACTGCCAAGCTTTGGCAGCCAACGGTGAGTAGTCGTCCCTCACCAGAGTAGTGTATTTCTGTTTCACTGCGCGTAGTGTCTGCTTTGCGTGGCAACCGGTCGACGAAGATCGTATATAAATCGAGGCTTTAAAGGGGGACGTGTATGAAATGTGTTAGTGAGTCCGCAAGTTTTTAAGTATTACTAATATCTTGGAATAAAATATTACCACATATCTTTCCAATAAATTATCTAGCCATTTGAATAAAGAATCGAATGCATCAGTCTCAATGTTTTTAAACACATTCGCTGTTATATATATCTACTCTATGCGAATAGAAAAGATTGAGGAGATTTGAAAATAATCCATTTTACAGCTGAAAGCGACGGCAGCGCCAAGATCTTACGATTTTTAAAGACCGCCATGGAGATGTGCAGAATGTCATCAAACTAGTGTAAGGTTTCCACGATCGTTCTCCTGCAGGATCTTCAAGGACATTTAAATTTATGGTCTAGTTCCTTGGCTTGATTACTCTGCATTCATGGTGAATAGAATGAGAGATTTAAGGATAAAGGGAGTTGTGATTTTGAATATAAAAGATTGAACTGAGATTGATCGATATTGGTAGCCATTCATTTATTACGCGATCGTTTCTAGTGGAATATATTTCATCGAAATTATTTTCCATAAATCATTGCAATGTTACTTCCTCATCACATTAAATATCAACTGTGATTTATCTTTTTGTCAATTTAAAAAATTGGTGACCATTAATTTATTTACTTGAAACATCATAAGAAGTATTGTGATCGTTAGATGATTTTTTGAATATTTCAAAAGTGTTTGCTTCAATAAAAAAGAAAATAACTCTATATTTATGTGGATCATTTTTTTGAAGAAGAGATGAAAGTATTGAGTGTTGATTTAAACAATCATTGGCCAACTGATGATCATAAAAATTCTGCAAACACATGTTTGTACGTGCGTATTTAATATTGAAACGGTTGTTTTGATATTCAAAGCATTTTAAATTGAACGATTATTGGTTTCAGTGGATAAGAAGTCAGCGATTATGGACTAATTGCAACCCCAAGATCAAAGGGCGTGGAGTTGTTTTCATTCTCTTATGGTCCTTTCGCCAACGTCGTCAACGCCGACGAAGACGACGTAGTTGACAAGACTGTCACGTCGATCTACTGTGACCTTTAAAGACGCTATTACAGCCGCAAGGTGAGTTGCTTTTACGATCTATGCTTATATCACTGATCAGTTACAAGATGCACTTTTTGTCGTTCGACTTGCACTATATAGATATATGTATATGTGCATAATGCATTTACATGAGCGTGACTATGGTGGATAACAAAAAATGCCACTTCCGTCGATATCTTAGTCGTGGTCGTTAAATATAAACCTTGAGAAAAATATTTTCCAAGACGATATTTTAACGCAGGAGTTCTAGAAGAGAGGTTGAGGCTTAAAAGGTTCTTCTGTACTCTGTGGGAAACTCCTTTTTGATTTCATGAAAAAAATCAATGATTCACGTGGACTGCAATCCAGTATGAAATATATTATTATTTAATTTCTTGGATTTTTTGTGTTTTTTATTTAGAGATTCCAGACTGGTTGTATCATTGTTTGGAGATGAAAGATGAAATTCTGAAAATTTTTTTGGTTGCAGACAAATATTTTTATGAGAATAATTATTAATAATCAGTTTTTCGGAGAGTTGTTTTGATGATTCAGTGGTCTTTGATGGCGTATTTCAGTAGAAGAAATTAAATGAGAATCTATAGAGTATATAAGGCTCTTTATGTGTACGTTTATCCAGAAAAAAGCTCAGATGTTTGATAATTTTTTTTTCGAATTAACTAAGCAAACCAAAACATAGTCGAGCTAATGGATTTTTAACCAATTTATTTACTTTTATTATTTGTTCAATTAATTCAAGTAGTAAAAAATATCCTTTTATTATTTTTTTTTATATTAAATTGCTTTCAGGTTGATAAAATTAAATTTAAATAATTTGCGATGAAAAATTATTCTCCATCATGATAAAAGTTATTTAAAGAAAATAATTTATTTAAAAATATTATGATAAATAAATTTTCGAATTCTGTACTAACTTTCCCCTCAAGAATTTTTTATGAGAAAAATACACACACGGAAGTATTTAGTTTATTGCCAAACAAAATAAAATATTTTCGATGTAACCGGATTATTTTCCCGAGTAAATGACCGCCTGCTAGATTACGAGCTCATTAAGCAAGGGTCAGAAATTAATGCTTTTGTATAGAGAAAGACGGCGAGATATTCTTAACGTAGGGTAGTAAGAATAGAAGGAAAATAGTCACGGCGCGTGTGCAGCATATATTCATCTGTAGCTAGCCAACGACAAGCATGGTGAGCAGTTCGTTTGGTCTCCATTTTATGACTTGGTCGTGGTTACCGACGCTGCGACTTCAGCACTTATTTTGTCTTACTACTATCACGTTCGACATCTACCTTTGGTTCTTTGCTACCAATATTATATGACTTCTTTTGTAGCATTTTTAAAGTAGATCTGAACAAAAAATACGTGTTTCGAATACATTAGCTTTTATTCTAACACAAACTCACTTTTTTTTTCTAAAATATACTTTCAGAATTTCTTTAATATTAATTAGAGCTTTCATTATTAAAGAATAATTTTAAAAATGATGTATAGACTGTGCAGATGCTTTCGAAAAAATAAACTACCTAAGAAGAAAGTCTAATAAAATTTAAATGAGACAAGTTTCGCATAGTCAAAGTTAGTTTTAGTGTTGTCGTTGGATTTAAGCCAACATTTCATTCATATACTATATATGCTTCGTTTGATTTAATTATTAAAAAGGCATTAAAGGCTTTTCTGATAGACTACAAAATCATTTTTTCACCTAGTTCAATGACCTGAATTATTTATCATACCCTAAAACCAATTAACTGCTTAAAGAACAATTATTTCCATGATAAACTTATCTTTGGAACAATAATTTTTCACAATAAACCAATACAATAAATTCCAGTCAACTTATTTGTACTGAATCATTAGAAGAAACTTGTTCTTCATATTTTGGAGTATTTTTTTAAATGAGTCTATGTTGGACTGGGGGGCATCTTGCTCTGATTTATCCTTCACTTAGGAAGACTGGGGTAACATGAGGATACTATGAAGTTATACTTATTTCAATACTTGTAATAAGAGTATTTCATCGTCCTTAACTAAAAATAAACAATTACAATTTTTTTTTGTATGGGATATCTCCTTACTTTTTGGAGCACCTTATTTTATATCCAGTATTCCAGTATGGATAAGAAAAGGATTTTTAATTAAAGATAAAATAATTTTCAAGACTTCCACATATATTTAAAAATTTTAGTTGAAAGATAAATTATTTAATATTGCACTGAAACAGCTAAATAATTTATCATGTTGGATATTACATAAA